TTTGCCGCTCTGTTTCCAGACATTTCGCCGACTGGGTCTAGTTGCCCTTCAGCCGCTTCATGCGGCCTCGTTCCAGTCGAATGCCTCCGACTCCGCCGCCTGCAGCAGCTTCCAACGGCCCAGTTCCATCTCGGAGGCGCTGCTCGCCGACGCTCGTCGCGCCGAGCGCTTCTTGAGCGACGCCTTTGTCGAGGCGGCTTTCAAAGAGGTCCGGGCTGAAGGCTGGAACGGCCTGCTGCTCGATGCTGGCTCCGCCGGTGCAATGTTGGATGAGCAGGGCAAGGGCGGTCGCGAAGGTAGCACCGCTTGCACTTGGCGAACTTCCCGTACGCGTTGCCGTACCGGACATAATCCGGGTGGTCGCACTTGCTCATCGGGTAGGTGAACTGCACGTCGAGCTCCGGGGGAATCGCGGTGAAGAGGAGGATGTCGAGGTGGAGGCGCGAGGTCACCCCGACCATGAACAAGAAAGTCGAGCTCGGAGGCTGAGTTCGACAAGTCTCGGGCCGCTAGCTCTGGAGGTGGAGCATCCCAATTCACGGTTTCGTGCAGCTGTCTCCAAGAAGGGCTCTTGCTGAAGTCAATGATACAGACAGCGAGGTGGCCGGAAATCCTATGTAACGGCACTGTCACAGGCAACTTCTCGAACCTAACTCGGTCGCGTGGAAGGTCAAGCACCATGCCGAGTGGGTCCAGGAGCCTATTGGAAGCGAGCAACGGAACTTTTGCATTCACGGCGTTGGCTCCCAAAAACAAGTTGGTGCCTCCCAGGCCCACGGGCAAGTAGGATCGCCTGCAAGGGCGGCGCTTTCGAAGCTCCTGGCCGTGCTCCTTCTCCCATTCTACACCACAGCACGTTCTTTGACACGCGGTGTCCAAAACCATCATCTGGCAAAACCCTCGATCTGTCCGGGCTTTGCCTGCACCTCAAAGACTGCCCTCACCTGGAAGACGAAGCCGTAGTCGGGGCTGTCGGTGGCCTCATAGGTGCCGGCGTCTCTCATGTAGAAGGTCTGGTGCGGGGGCCTTCTTAGGAGGAGTGGGGCCGCGATCACCACGATTTTGGAAGTAGCCCTTGCCGGCGGTCGGCTGCCCTTGGTGGTGTCCACATTTGCCCCCTTTTTCTCGGGGTGCGGTCTGCGGCTTGGTCGCCAAAGAGCCGTCCTTGTTCACCACCGGGGGCGCCGTCTTGAACTCAGGGTACTGCAGGACCATACTCTCGGAGATGTCGTCGAAAGTCACAAGCTGTAGCGGGCACCGATCAGGATGAGCCGTTGGTCCTGCAAAGTCAAGCGGGCTCGTTCCAGCAATCGGTTGCCCCGGGCCTCAGCGTCGTACATGCCGGTAATGTTGACGCCGAGTGCTTCCAAGGATCGTTCCACACGGCGGTACTTGTTGGCGAAAGTCCTGAGGCCCTCCCCCGGGTAGCGGTTAAGCTGCTCAAAGTCGGCCAGGAACTTGCGCTTCTGGCACACCGCCTTCTGCTCCATGGGGGCCTTCAGGGTCTCCAGAATGTAGTCGATGCCGTTTTCGTGGTTGATGCGGTCCAACGGCGCGTGCTCCAGCTCTGCCTCCGCCTCTCCGGAAAGGCTGGTGTAAATGAGAAGCGAGGCCTCGCCAGGGCCTCGCGAGCCGTCATGTAGCTCTTGATCTGCACCCGCCAGATCTCGATCTTGTGGGCCCACTTGGAGAACGCCCTGAGGTCGGTAACGTCGTACTTCCAAGCCGGCGGGGCCGGTGGCGTCCCGCCACGCCAGCGCACATTCTTCAGAAGACTTGTCCCGGCCGCCAGGTGTGGTCGCGGCCTTGACGTCGTCCAGGGCCAGCAGGTGACGTGGATGCTCAGCCTCAGGTGCGGAGGTTCGGGTAATCGTGGGGGCTCATCACCTCGGCGGTCAGCTTGCTGTACTGGTACTCCCGGGGCCGTTCTTGAAGAGGGTCGTGGCGTCGAGCACGTCGAGAAGTATGCGAGGAGGCTCCGACCGACACAGTTGGGTCATGGGTCAAAGTCTCAGACTCGGGCTGCTCGGATCTCTCTGAAGCGCCATCTCCAGATGGCGGCCCTCCTCGGGGTCGGCGCTATCGCCGTCGCCGCACAGAAGCCAGGTCGCCTGAGGCAGCTGCAGGTGGGCTGTTCGGATGAGGCGGCGGTGCCGCATCAGCAGCCGGGGCGGCTGTCCCGCCGGCACATAAAGCCACTGTCCTTGACCATGTGTTGCGGGCCTTGAAGTAGGCCGGTCCGTCCGTTAGTGCTGGAAAGTGCTGGAAGCAGCCGCACTCTCCACAGCACCATCTGCCCAGGTAGTCGCGGATGAGGTGGTCGCTGTCACAGTCAGAACACCTCCAGTCCACATCCTTCCTGGGCTTCTCCGAAGGTCCTGGGCCGTCTGGCACGTTCTCGTGGTCCTCCAGGTCGGGCAGATCATCGAACTCCAGGCCAAAGTCCTGGTGGTCGGCTGCCGCCATATCAAAGGTGGGAACCACAGGCATGCCAGGAAGCAGGCTCCGGTGCCAACTAAGTGAAAGCAGCGGTAGCAATCACAGCGCACTAGCGGTCATTTTGCCACGGCGGGCTCGCAAAGGTAAGCGGACTCAAGGGGCGCCCTCTTGAGAGGTCACAGCGGCCGAAGGTGACAGAGTGATGCAACCCAACAGCATGCGACTAAAGCCGAGTGCTAGCACAAGTTTTACAAGTATCACGCTATTTCCTACGGTGGCGCATGTTACTATGTGACTTGCGAACGAAGACTAGCATCTCCCTCTCCACCTGTAAGCAGTGTTTCTCAGCATTGACACTGTTGCCGTACTATTCTATTGCATGATGTCGCTGAGTTCGTAAGAGGTCGTGTCATGGCGATATGTAGTTACATCATGCATGTGTACCAAGTATTCCTCAACCCAAGTGGCACCAAGCTGCAGTGCAAGCTGACCGTCGTCATGCCTTCATGCTCTTTCCCGTATTCTCATATCTTCTTCAATGCCTTAACGCTATTGGTACTGCTGCAGTACTCTCGCAATGCAGATTGTCACCAAGTTCATAGCGAATCCATCCTGTTGGTTTTATGTGTCGTTGCTTGTCCTTATATATAGTATGTTGCTGACAAGCAGTCGATATGTTCGCCTCACTCAACGAAGCTAATTTTCATGCGCAGTACTACCTTTTACTGCAAAGCTCACCCTCGTTCTGCCTTCGTACTCACACCGTGTTCTCATATGGTCTTCTGCACTGCAGGCTAATCATATGTAGACTTGTATCCATACAGATCGATGTGGGCTACGTATGCTCGCTTCACGCAATTCTGACGCACTGCTACAATAAGTGAGGACACAATAAGTGAGTGAGTGAGTGACTGAGACAAGAAGGCAGTGACTGCGACAAGAAGGCTCCTTCATACATGTCAGTGGTCAGAACTAAGCGAGTTCTTACAATCTGCCAATACCACAAAAGATCAGTCACAGCACCTCGAAACCGCTTGATGACTCGGAGAAGATGTGGACTCCCTCTTCACCATATGCCAACTACATCCGATCATAATTGGAGCATCTCGATGTTCGCACGCTTTGTACCACGAGTAGAACAGCTGCTCGTTTCTTCATTTTACACGAATAGAACAGCCGCCGTTTCGTCATATCATATCATGTTTAATCAGGCAACTCCAGTTACTGTACAATCAGAATAAGAAGTAAAACTTTGCATGTGGTTCTAGTATCAATAAAAACAATGACCAAGTCAAAATGACCATGTTCTCTTCATGAGACATGTGGGAGCACTTAGATACGTTGTTCATGCGTTGTGGACATTAGGACACAAGGAATATCTGGAAAACACTCAGCGGTTGTCTCTTAGTAAGAATCACAAGACCCTCTGGTGCACGCAAACGAAAAGCCCGACTTCTCACTGCCAGCAAAGAGAGCTGCTACCATCGTTCAACGAGAGATAAATTAAATTTGCTGATGTCTCGCCTCAGCCTCAGAACGTGGAAACACTTCTATATCTCTCAAAACTTTGGAAGGCTGCGAAAGAATTCCGTTACATATTGAGCTCGGCTTATCTCAAAAGAGACTGTGACTATGACGTTGTTCGATAAAAGGGAAACATCTATACTTGGAAAACTTGATTTGTGCATGCAAAACAAACAAAATTACGTCTTTTCTCTTGTAATATGCCATAAGACTTTAGGAGTGCTGCAAACTGTTGATCCCTGCCAACGTGTTCGCAACTGAGGTTGCCCACCTCCCACGATCCACTGCTTTAACTCAAGATGCTGGGGTGGATCATGATGGGGGGTGGCGTGAGTATGTGTGCATATATATATGTATGCAGAAACTTAAATGTACAAACATAAACAGACGAGTGACTTTCAGACAGCCACATACACACACACACTTGCAGCAGGTCGTTCAGACCAAAATGTCACTAATGTTGTGGCTCATGTTCGATTTTGACAGTGTGTTGCTCCTTTCTCTGTCATCTCTTGTTCTGACTGCTTGCCAACGGGACTCAAAGCCATCTCAAACATGAGGAATGCGCCGCTCAAACACGTAACTGTGTGACAGTTGGACGACACGGACATGTAAGTGTTCATCAAGCAATCCCACGCGCTCAAGCACTGCAAGAAAACCTGGTTTTCAAGAAGAACCCAAGTAGATATGGATGTCCGAGCTACGATCCAAAGTCCACGGCGCATCTTTACTTCTGCAGGTACAGAGCCATTCGTGTGGCTAGGAGCATTCGCGTCACACCCCTGATTTTGGTTGAATTTCAACATGTTTTCACTTCGCCCAATGGTCCAGGGATAACACACGCACACACTTGGAAAGTGTTTTCTGCACTCCCGGACAGATGCACTTAAAGTGTATACGCTAGCTGCACTTTCACAAGCCAGCCCACTACAACACACACACACACACACGTCAGTGCAGTTAACACAATAACAATTACAAACCTCATCGGATAACTGTAAAACCTCACGCTTCACGTCATCTAAATCACCATCGTCCTCGCCGAGCTGAGGCTGTACCGATCGGGAGCGCGAATACCCCTTGTGAGAAGGGTGGAATGATCTTTCACTCAGCACTTCAGACGTCTATCACGTTCGTCAACGGGCCTCACGAAGATCTCCCAGATTCCTGGGAAATTTCCAGAATCAGAAGTCGAGAAGTATGAGAACGACATGGGAAGAATCCTCAGGAGGACGTTGTAGATGCCCTTCCTGGAAGCGCACAAAGCTCAGCGAAGCTCGCTGCCGGTCCAATGCACGTAACTAAGCTCTGGGCAAGATCTTCACAGGGTCGCTGTAACCTCCCCGACATGAGAAAAGTACGGCTAAGGCTAAGGGCAGGCGAAGCTTCAATGCTGAGGTTCGAGCCTGACCCAGGTGTCTGTGTGAAGCCGGCTTTGTCCGATGGCCTGAAGTGACTGTCGCAGTCCTAAGAGATCACTTCGATGCAGAGAAGAAAGTCTCCATCAAGTGCCTCAAGATAACTTCCATGTCGGAGATATCTGTGCAACCTCGACATCTCTGAGCGACGCAAATTTCATGAACACCTTGTTCATTGAGGCTGCTTCCACAAATAGGATTGTCGTCCAAACTCTTCGCAGAAGGTTCGGGGCGGCCTGAACGGAACACAGGACGTAACAGGATCCTCGGAAGTAAGACCGTGGGACGAGGCGAGATGTTATACCCATCGAGGGTTGCCGGAGCTGTGGCTCAGGCTGTAATCCACCATGCGGTCTGCCTCAAACTTCCTTGGAGTCATCAACTTCTCGAACGCACTGCATCGCAGATCACATTGAAGGGCAATGACCCGTCGTACACTTTGCCATCGTCGAAGGTGTGCCGACCATGACCTTCCTTGACGTTGCCCTTCCATTCCTCAAAGTCACAACAGCACTTGTTGCACACGCTTGTACACATGGGGAGAGTTTGGGGGCGGCCCGATGCAAATGCGTCGGAGTGTCGCCATGGTAATAGGCGCCATTTGCATAGTAGAAGGTTCCAGTACCCTCCCGTCCTCGAGCACAGGCAGCAGCCAGCAGCCACGGACAGAGATGTCGATGCTCTTGGGCAAAGGCGGCCCCACACCCACTGGCCAGTGTAGCGATTGTTGAGCCTGGGGAGCACGGGCACAGTTCTTGGAACCACGATGCCCCGCGGTCAACACATCTGTTCAACAAGCAACTGTTGCGTGGCGTGAATTTGAGCTTCATGTCGGCGCAGCTCCTGCAAGCTCCAGCACCCAGCACTTCTATCGACACTGCCATTGTTTTGGGTTCAAGCCTGCTGTGAGTTGAAGCCAGGCGAGCCCGTGACCTTCGTCTGCGCAGATGCCAGTCCCCTATCAGACTGTTTGGGAACTCGAGCCTGCGCAGAAGGCGGAGATGCCGGTCGATTCAACCAGCTCTCCTGTGCAGACTCAGCAAAGCTATAATGTGATGTGTCAACTTAAACATATTCTCTTTCTGTGTACTGCCAAGTTGCCGTGGTCGCGGCATCGGTGCTCGGGTCCATCGTGAGCCAGGTGTGCGTGCCTTCGCCTGGCACAAGTAAACTGAACTGTTCGGACAGCGAAGAACAATCTCTGTTCCGGAGCGCACCATGCGGGCAGTTGTCCTGGGCAGGTTAGAGAAGGACTGCAGGCTATGAAGGCAAAGACAGCTATACCACTCCAAGACTCCACCCACTCACCAGTGTAGACTTCAGCACCTTAGCTGCTGCTTGGCTTTAGAACCAAGCAGAGGCAGCTAAGGTCAATGCAGCAGAACGCCTTCTGCCTCCAAGCAGCTAGTTCCGTTTCTCCAGATCATGGTTCCATGTCCACTCATTTTTCCGAGCCTGACTTGAGATCTCTGGTAACCGTGCAGCAAGCAAGACAGGGCTGGTTGGATGGTGGAGACTGAGGCATGGTGCTTCCATTCTCCTTCGTAGCAGTTTCCGCTTGGCCACAACCTCGGAACCAAAGCCGACAGCTCGGTCCAAGCCATCTACGAGTAACAACGCAAAGACGGATCTTGGGTGCTGACTGCTTTCCATAGCCATGTTTCTGGCCAGCCTACATGAGCTTGGCAATGCCCAAGAGGTTGAAGAAGCCAAGTTGCTCGTACACATTTACACACTCACACACGCATGCACACCCTGTGCCCCGAAGAGCTTAAGTGCATGCAAAATTAAAAGTCACGCCTGCCACCCACCGTCGTAATATGAGGTGGTGTCGGAGTTGTAGGTGAGCTTGCCTTGCCTGGTGGCAATCGTCGGCTCAGCGACTGGATTTATTGCTGACACGCTGTTCAAAAAACAGAGGGAGTCACCCGTGCCGCTTGCCATCCAGCCACTGGCCATCGTAGCGAGTCTTGCCTGCAACATGCAAGTGTTGCCCAAGGACTGCTCTTCACAGTGACAGCAAAGCTGGCCGTCAAGTGCTTCGTAGGCGCCATCGCCTCATATCGGGATGAAAGAACAAGGAAACGGACACACTGGGGCACGCTACATTAGGGCTCCTAAGGTTCCGGCCATTCCGCCTTCCCCCTAATAGTTCTCCCTGCAAGTGGTAGCTGCTAGCCCTCGCAGTGTTTTAGCAGAATGGCGCCAGCGAGCGCCTCGTACTTGGATCCATCGGGCCAGGTAAATCTGCCAAGCACAAGAAAGGCTCGCTCCCTCGCTCTCCCAAGCTCAAGAAATTCCCCTGCAACAAGATGGGCTCGCTTGCCACGGCCCTCAATCTGGCTTGCAATGAAAGGCCTCGCACAGGGTTTCCCTCCACACTAAAGCACCTAGCAACACTCAGGCGAAAAAAATGCGCACCCTTCGTACTTGGTGCCGGTTGACCTCGGAAAAAATCGTGTTGCAATCGTGCGGCGCTGCTCTGGACACTTGGCATTCTCAGCCTCTGGCCAGATGTATGTGGAGGAGAGCCCTTCGAGAAACTGAGAGCCCAGGTGATCCTGGCCAAGGCAAGAAGGATGAAGGATGCTCAGACCGCTCAAGCTTTGAGAGCAGACAAAGACGCCTCACGGATAATCCCAGAATATTTGTTGTCCGCAAGGTCACAGTTCACGAACTGAGGTGTTAGGTCTTTCTTTACCTTTCACAGGGAACAAAACATGAAGTGTTATACAGCTAAGCCTTTTCGCCTGGCACTTCGCACTTAGAAGCGCCTCCTTGCTTTTGGCTTCTTTTCTTCGCTTTGATCTCTTGGAACTCATGGCACGGATTCTAATTCAATCCCGCCCATCACCTAGCAATGGGCAGGAAAGAAGCTGGACAGGTTGGAGCGGTCTTGCGGGCTAAGACAAGTTCAACAAAGCTTGGTCAAGTTGCGTGGGGACAACGTCTTGAATCACAAGTTCCCGGCATGTGCTTCGTTGTCCAACTGCTCGGCATCTTGAGCCATTACTTCAAGCACAATTGACAACCTTATTTCACAACTGGATTAGGGAAAATGCCAGATGTCTGCATCTTGAAGCTGTAAGGAAGCATGTCGTATGGAAAATAAATATGCTTGCCGCAGCCGCTGCCACGCCTTCGGCTCACCCTTGGCATTCAAACCTGATGTCCGTGCAGTTGTCGGCAGTCGGCTACTACCCCAACCTTCCGAGCAGCGTCCTGGAGGGAGCAGCTAGAGGGACACTCGTCGGAACAAAGTTTTGCAATTTTTCTGATGCAAAGCCGGAGGTCGCAATCAGTGATGTTGTGTGTCACGAACCCGGAGTCTCTCATCTCAAGCATGCGTGAGACCAACACCTGCACATCTGCATCCGTGAGGCCCTGCGTCAAACGCAAGTTCTCTGGAGACTTCGACCGGCCACTCGGCCACTCAGTTACATGTCCGGGGCATGCCAAGTCAGGCAAGGCCAGGCAAGACCCACCGGCATGGTAGAGGTCGGATTCGCCTGCAGTCTGCAGGAACAACGTCGATTTTCGCATGCACCTTACCGCACCTTTGTAAGCCCGACATCTCCCTCGCGAGTTCCAGACAGAGGCCGGTATAACCCCCTTCCATTTCCTAAATTGGGTTGCCAAAGACCAGCAATTTTCAGAGCTGTGTGGTGGGCAATAGATTGGGCCGGTGGTAATCGCAACGTTTCTCGGCACGGAGCTGACGTTAATGTTTTTGGGCATGAGCCGTACTCCACCACAGCAGGAAATGGCGTCAAAGTGCGGGTTCTCTAACAAACTGGGGAGAAGTGCATCTGTGAGATTCTGCGGGCATGGGCTTGGCAAAGAGACGACCGGCATTAGCCACTTGATTTCCAAAAGTGAATCTCCCTGGTCTCCGAGCAGATGGCACTGAAGCGTGAAGGATCTCCTGAAGTCAAAGACTTCGTCAACATGCGGCAAAGTTGTTTGGCTCCAATCTTGTCGCCATTTCAGACTACAGCCGAGCCATCCTACACGCCTCAAACTCTGCGTCATCGCAAAACAAAACGAAAGATATGCCTTTGCCGATGGCAGCACCAGGTACAAATCGACGTCTCTGTCAACCACGTCTATCTTCCCCTCCGTCAACGAACCCACTGTTCTTCCGTGCCGCATGAGGCCGATAAGGGTACCGGCAACTGGAAAATAAATAGCTCCAGGTCCAAGAATCTGTCCGACTGCTTTCCTTGGCTGCGGCTTCTGCCAACACGATGTTCACGCTAATTTAGTTGTGGCAGCCTTCTTGCCTCAGTATACTCCACACATCTAGAGGATGGTAGTTCCGGATCGAAACATGCCTTCCTACGTCCTAACTCTGTGCTGCATGCGGGCACAGGCCTCTGGTGCAAAGATACGCCTTTAGATGCAAAAATGCTGTCAGAGCCGACTTGGTTATCACAGAAGTGAGCGTGAGGGACGAGAGTGGGGCCAGTCGCGGTAAAAGGTCCTCTCCTGCGACATCCAGTCAATCCCGAATGCCGCTCCTCGTAACGGCAAGTTGGATAGTTGATGATGCCCATTTTCTGTGGCCAAGTGCTCTTCTGTGAGAGTTATATGCCAATAATAAGCAAGCAAGCTATTGCACTGCTTCAGCTTGTACATTCGGGACGCTACGACTTACGGGTAAAGGGAGGGTGGACTTGATAGCCACTCAGCAAAGTGCATGCCGAGACAAGCTTCCTTACATCTCGCCACGCCCTTTCGACCACTTGATCAGACCTCCCTCGCATGTCTCGGCGTGCAGGCCAAAGATGCACGTCATAGGAAAAGCTCTGAGGATTTCGCGGATCACTGCTGGGGACAGGGAGATAGAGATATTGCCGCGGATTGAAACATTTGAAATACCGAAGCAAGCCAGGACTGTGTACCCAGGCCCGTGTTGGGCCCTTCCAACTTCCACCAAACCATGGCTCCTGGCCGGCATCCCTGAGCTCAATCAAAATATCATCGAACTTTTTGCGCGCAGTCTGCAACAAGTTTCTGACCGTTGCTGAGGACCCGGGAACATCACGGTCGTGATCGCTGAAAACGTCGAAGGCCATGTTCATTGATGAGTTTGCCTCCCCCATCCATGGTTGCAGAAGCGCCAGTGGCGTGTCAGCTGAAGCCACAGGGAACATCCTCAGAATAATGGAAAAGGCGGCGGCAACCAGCGCCACAGGTGTGGCTGCGGGGCACCAGCTTTCCACCCTATCATAGTCCGCATGCATTGCAAAGCTAAGGCGATCGAAGGTCTTTATCTCACTCCAGCTAGCATCCGCGCGGAGAAAGTCCCGCAATGCGTTGTACACACCATCGAAGGTTGTGACTCCGTAGCCTTCAAGTCTGATAGTTCCAGAGCACGAGAGCATCGCATCGGTCTGTGGAAGTCTGTGCTTCGCCGTTGAGCTTGCAATGCAATCTGCAAGTTGTCCCTGAGTGTCTCATAGAACCGTTGCCACGTCTTGCCGCTCGCTTAGAAAGATGCTCTGGTATGTAGGGATTTGGGGCAGTTGTCTTCATCTTGTCAAGCCTCGCTCCAAAAGATCCGGGTCTATCCTTGTGCTGGCTTTGACTTGCGATGCTGTCAGATGAGAAACTTCTGGATGTGAAGGTGGGTCAATGTTAAAAGCTGCGGGATCTTGCGCCAAACAGTTTGAAAAGTTTGTAGACAAAAGCTGATCCTACACAGCGATCGTCCGACAGTCTATGCTGCCGATTGCAGCAAAAATTCTTGGCATCCTAACGCTATTGAAAATGCAGACTCACGGCATAAACAACCCCCCAACCAGACAAGGGGACGAGAACTGCGTTCTCACTCACCACTCTGACACTACCAGACAGCAACACGAGAGCCTACATGCCCTGCCCTGCAAGCCAAGCCCGAAGCTTGAAAAAACAACTCTACAGTGCCAGAATTGCAGACGGAGCAGAGCGTGCTGGGACCCCTTTTTGCTCGCCCGTCGAGGCTAGGTAACGCTTCACGCCTTTGATGTCCACCATCCCCTTTGAGCTCAGGATCCTTCTAAAGACAGCGTGCCCTACACCTCAAGGGAACCACATGCTGTGCCCATGTCGTCTCACCCGTGTGATGCGCCAGCAGCGGAGATGATACATGTCCAGATATAGTCGCGTTGAATCGGCCGGAAGTTCAAGTCAAGGCATGTCGGGAACTGTCATGGCAGCTTTACTGGGCCCTTCAAGCCCTAGGCGCTGGACCGCAGGGATGCGTTGAAATCAAAAGGCTTTAGTCGATACTCGGAGCCCCGTCAAGCAGGCACTGCAGTCTCTGCAGGTGCTGCAGCGGGCTTACGCTTCGGGGCTGGAAGCTTAAGCGGTGCGACCCATGTCTCGGTCGGATCTTGGTCTTGTGCCCCGCGTGATGCCTGAACAGGCCACCACCACTGCTACTGCCAGTCCAATTGGTAGCCACCGGAGATCCCAGGGTCCCAGCCTGCTCGAAGGCTTTGCCCACGGAGCCGGCTGCTGGCCTGAGATCCGAAGCAAAACTGCTTCAGCCAATATATCAATGCAGGGATCCAACCCCATCGATGCACCATGCCTGCAACACACACGCAACATCTCCTTAGAAGTGGTCCACAGGCCCGGGCTTAAAGGACTCAGGGGACGTTGAAGCTATAAATGAAGCTCCTGCGGCTCTCATCCGTCCGACTCGTTGCATTTGCATGTGAATGTCAAGTCTTCGGTAGCTCAGAGTCTGCCTGGAAAATTGTCGGCAGTCCCCGCTGCACGATAGGGTGCCGGCCTGCCGTGGATGGATCTTGCAAGACAAAGCAGTTTGTGCATGAAAACTCTCGAAGAGCGGACCTCCGGGGCTTTGGAGGCCGAGTCACCCGCTCGACGGGCCACGGCCTCCCGGGCCACTCCTCCGACCTGCAGACTGGAAAACTCCTTGAAACACATCTCCACTTCTTGCAACTGTGTCTTGCGAATGCCTCGTGGGCGAGTTCCACAGTCCTGGCTTCGTGCCGTCTGCAAGCGTAGGTCGTGTGCTGAATGGAACATTTCGCTTGCAGTACACCGCCGGCCATGTCAATGTGAAGTTTCTGCATCTACGTGGCGCACCTAGTAAGAGATACGAGAAGGGCTGTGGGGAGAAGCGGAAATTGTCGGAGGACCTCCCCGACTCACAGCAACTCAAACCTCGCATCGGTGCGTGACCGTCGCTCACATGGACGGCCACGTGCGGGTTAACGAAGAGCAGCAGCTCTGATGAAAGGAGTGAAGGCGCCATACAACTTCTTCGCGGCTTGGCTGGTTTCAAGATGCCCACATACAGGAAATCAGGCTAACGTCTGAATCAATGACAAAGGGGGATCCGCCACAATCGCTGAGCATGACTGAGCGAGATCTGCCGTACGGTCAGGAGGCAGACAATGGATGATGGTGGATGGGCATCTGCCCATTCAACGGACGCGGTAGAGCCGACTGGGCGACCGAGGGGAGCCTCTTGGTCCAAGCAGCTGACTAAAGTAGGCTGCCCCGCCCCGTCCATGGCTCACAGAGTAAAACGCAAACTGCAAAAGAAAAATGCACTCTTGATTCGCTTATGCGCGTGACCGTGATGCGAGCTTTCGCTGGGCAAGCCCCCAAGCCATTTCCGAAGGATACAATGAAGATGAGACACTAGGCCTTGGACATCATTGGACGCTCATGCTCACGAACTTTGAATACCAACGCACCCACGCCAACGTCCATAGACTTGGAGCTGTGTCTCCTTGGGCAGGGCTGGCAAGAAGCCGTGGCGGCATCCTGGCGCTCGATCCAACGACCGGACCTGAAACGAACTGCAGGGGCGGTGGGGCGGCCTGGCAGCGGCCGGCGTTGTCGTGGCAAGACGGGCAGGCCAGCCTTCCCAATGTCCGATGGAAGTATGCGTTTTGAGAAAAATCCTGCCTCCGCACGGCTTCTGGCTTGTTGGCTTTGCGTCGGGTTGCTAGGGCAGGCCTGAGGCACCTTGCACTGACAATCTGGAAGTCCTCCCACAGAAAGGTGAAGACCGAACGAACTATGACAAAGGCTATGTTACGTGTGACCTCAAACTTTGGACGGACTCGTCGTCCTGTCTTCGGACTCTTGCCGGATTGGATAAGGCGCGACCTCGGAAGACAACAAAACAGCGAACTGACCACTGCGGAGCAACCGGTGCTTGTTCGTCAAAAACATGCAGGTTACAGATGCGCAGATACTAGCTGTTTGCTGCTAGCGACACCGGATGTACAGTAGCTTGGCCTTAGCAGTTGTGAGATTTTGTGAGCAAAAGTGCCGTCTGTACATGTGCAGGACGCTGTTCAGCGTAGACCAACGGGCTCCAGAGGCACATGTTGGATGCGTTCATGACAGACAGGCCTGCTTACATTGTCTTCGATGCACTGAAGAGAAGTCGGTTATGCATTGCCAAAACGTGCAATGTTTTATGTGCCCGGTTCCGTTCGAAAGGCACAGGAGTCTGGAGTCCAGTTCAACTTTGCAGCCCCGAAGAGGAAAGGCGCTGACTCTGGCTGACGCTCCTCCTTGCTTGTAACGGGCCTTGGCTATCTGTACTGACCACAGCATCATCCCGTCACACTGCTAAGAAACTTATTGGGCTTCAGGCAAAGTATGAGGCACCATGAGTCACGGCCACAGCCGGTGGGAGCTTCTTTGGCTGCCTCGGCCTCAAGATCAGCATCGCGAAGATCCCGGGAAGCATTTCCGACGCAGCAACACATAGCTCCGGCTGGGCATCCGACTGATTAGTGCCCAACAGGTGCGGGGGAATATCCTCCTGGCTCATTCCATCCAGTCGCACTGCATGAGGCTGTGGACTCTTAGGAAAGGCAGTCGAAACGAATGCCAGACACGAATGCCATTCCAAACCCACACTGCCGGTAAAAACTACCAGGGGATTAAGGAGAGGACAGGGCAAGTAACAGTGAGAGTACAGTGAGGGTTCCCTGTGCCGAATGGCCTTATGCCCGTGATGTTGAACTGTTTAGGTCCCGGTTTGCTGCACGGAAACATGGTACGTCTGTTTCCTCTCGACACGAAAGATGGCCGAGCTCGCGCTCGCGCACTGGAGAACTAGAAATCTCCTCGTCGTCCTCCTCTGCTTCGCCTTCTTGGTCTTCTTCCGCATCAGACCAATCGCACGTTCGCGGGTTTACCTTGGGCGCATCGTTCCTCTGACTGGCGGAAGCATTGAAACTAACGCTATCAAACATAGCATGGCTTTGCATGGCTGCAGAGCCTACGCATCCCTGTCAGACGGACGTTCTTCCGTCAGGCGCCATGTGCTCGACGTTTTGGTTTCAGATGCTACCGTCTTGCCAGGCCTCGGGAGACAGGTGACGGGGACTGACGTAAACCGACATTTCGAAAAGCAGGCTATGGTCTACGGGAGGTTGGCCGCTCACTTGTGACTTCTGTTTGTCTCACTTGTGACTTTTCAGGCCTTGCCCGACAGGCGGCTCACTTGTGACTTCTATTTTGGCTCACTTGTGACTTCTCCGACATACGAATATGCAGCACGTCTTGGCAAAAAGTGCTTCGAAACACTTGTGACTTCTCCGCCTTGTGACTTCTCTGACAGGAGAATTTGCAACCCCTGTCGGGGAAAATCACTTGTGATGCCAGTTCTTCATATATCTTAAAAATAACCCCTGATTTGGTGACTCCGCTCATTTGGCGATGCTACTTCAATATCTACAGGAAACACGCCCCTCGTTTGGCGAGTCCGGTTTATTATCGCATATCTTGAACACGCCCCCTCATTTGGCGATTGTGGTTAATCAAATGTCTTAAACACGCCCGCGCACCCTCGTTTGACGATGCCGGCTCCTGATTTTCTTAAACACGACCCCTCATTTGGCGACTGAGGCTCAAGATATAAAACACGGCCGCTCATTGGCGACCGGCGAATCCGGTTCACCATATATCTTAAACACACCGTTTGGCGATGCAACCCGCCCCCTCATTTGGCGGTTTCGGTTCATCATATATCTTAAACAGGCCCCCTCATTTGGCATTTGGCGATGCTACGTCATCCTCTACTTAAACAAGCACCCTCGTTTGGCGATTCCTTGAAACACGCCCCCCTCGTTTGGCGATTCTGGTTCCCCATATTCTTAAACGCGACTCTTCATTTTGCGATACCGGTTCAACATCTATCTTAAACACGCCCCGTCGTTTGGCGATTCCGGCTCCCCATATTCTTAAACGTGCCCCCTCATTTGGCGATGCTACTTCGTCATCTATCTTAAACACGCCCGCTCATTTGGCGATTGCGGTCTATCGTATATCTTAAACCCGCCCCCTCATGTGGCGATTCCGGCAGCTCGGGCCTAGCGTATATCTTAAACACGCCCCCTCCTTGGGCGGTTTCAGTTCATCATATATCTTAAACACGCCCCCTTGTTTGGCATTTGGCAATGCTACTTCATCATCTGTCTTAAACACGACCCCTCCTTTGGCGATTCCGCTTCCCCTGATTTTCGAACATGTTTCCTCGTTTGACGATGCCGGTTCCGCATGTATCGTAAACGCGACCCCTCGTGTGGCGACCCGGGTTCAACATATTTTCTTTATCATGCCCCCTCATTTTGCGATGCTACTGCATCATCTATCTGGCACACGCCCCCCTCGTTTGGCGATGCTGCTTCATCATTCATCTTAGACACGGCCCCTTTTTGGCGATTCCGGTTCAACATAGATCTTCAACACGCCTCCTCATTTCGCGATTTCGGTTCATCATATCTTTTTACACATGCCCCCTCATGTGGCGATTCCGGTTCAATATATATCTTAACACCCCCTCATTTGGCGATTGCGGGCTATCGTATATCCTAAACACGCCCCCTCATTTGGCGACTCCGGTTCAAAATTGAACACGCCCACGCCCCTCGCGATTCCGATTCCACATATTGTTAGACGTGACCCCTCCTTTGGCGGCTCCGGTCCAACTTTTAAAATACATCCTCATATTTGGCGATGCTACTTCAATATCTATAGGAAACACGCCCCCTTCTTTGGCCACTTCGGTTAGATATCGTATATCTTAAAAACGCCCTGTCATTTGGCGATTGTGGTTAGTCATATGTTTTACGCGCGCCTCCCCATTTGGCGATTCCGGTTCATCACATATCTTTAGCAGGCCCCCTCATTTGGCGATTCCGGTTCCCATAGTCTTCAACACGTCCCCTCGTTTGGCATTTGGCGATGCTACTTCATCATACGGGACGCACGTGGTAAAGAACTTTCGACATGTTGAATCGTGCGTAGTTGTGTAGCTTTCCCAAAATGTTGAAAAGCAAGCCATAAACTAGGCAGGTGAAAACGATCGAAGGAAAACACTGGTGTCCAAGAGAAGACTTTCAAGTTTATAGTTGATGTTCCTATCTTCATGCAATTGTGCCTCATCTCTCACACGAGCTTGGTCAGGCTCCAGCACTCTATGTCATCATTTGTAAAAGCTGTGAGAAGCATCGATGAAGCCTAGCATGGCCCGTTCACAAGTCAGAGCTTGCCAAGACTGACACAAGAAATGTCGTCGAGGAATGACCTCCACAAATGGAGACACATCCGCCGTGAATGGCTCCAGAAGAGTGGTGCAGCGCGAGAATTGCAATCCTCGAAGTGTGCGCGCTTAGGATCTGCTGGAGGGTGTTGCTGTGCTTTTGGGAGTTTATACATCCAGAGGCCTCTTAGAGCATAAGATGACATCCCATCGCGTACTCGACGGACCCCATCATCTCGCGCCCCAATCACAAACTCCATCACGACAGAATCTATTCACCCGAAAAAACCGTCATAATCGGCAAACACATGAAACTCTAACAACGTATGGAGAGCCTTCTGCCATCTTCTGCCATCGCACCTACCGCATTGAAGAGGACTTTTGCAAGACGAGATCGTTCTGATGACTGTCCCGGTCGCTCTACTCGTCTACGACCTACAACCCAAGGGCTCAGCTAAGTCCGGTCTGTGACCAACAAGTCCAAGTGGATCTGAATTAGAGGATTCGGGAATACGATGGGCGAGCCTGGCCCTTCTGGCATATGATTTGTCTTCCAGCTGCCTATACCGAAAATTTCGAGCAGCTTAGCATTGGCAGAATAGAGATGACGCAAGCATCTGTGATGATGCACATTCAGCTTTCGTGCTAATGATTTAGTCAGATAGCCTGTTGCAAGTCCACATATCAATCGGCTGCTGATGACTCATATAACAGCATCGTAGGCTAAAGCTGTTATTTTAATAGCCCGACAGTCCTTCCAGAACACACATAGCATTTGACGTCTGGAGTGCGTTGAGGGACTTCGTGGCAGATGTTAAGGGTCTTACCTGAGTAGATAGCTTCTTGAGAGCCCTCGTACTGGTCGAAAAACGAATTGCGACGTCTGCGTGGTAAACCGTGTCGAAATCTAGAATTGGGGTTCACGCGTTCTGTACCGGACTGTGAGTTCGCTTCACACCGTGATCCATGCACGTCATAACCAGGACGACCCATTACAGTGATACGAGAGACCCTTGCGTGATTCCAGCTGGTTAAGACTTGACGGTAGAGGCACTGCACTGAGTGATCGGTACGATGAAAGTACGGCGTGAGTTTCCATCGGCTTTGCTTTGGAATGCAGTGCAACGAAGCATCAAGAGAAAAAAGAGGGCATTGAGCAGTCACAAGCAAAAGAGCATGCGCGATGTAAGTGTGCAGCAATCGGCTGCACTGGTTCTTTGCCAAGTGGGCGTGCTTCCAGGGATGGATCCTGCAGCAGATTGCAAGCATCACCCCAGCATCACTACTTGCTGAGCGAAGCAGCAGACACCCTGATAGCTGTCCCAGTCGTTGATCCTTTCCTCTCCATTCTTCGGGGGTGCGTTCCTGGTCTTTTGCGCATCTTCCCGCACTGCCCGCGTGCTCCCCAGCATGCTGTTGGACGTGGGCCTCTGCACCCAAATGGCCTGCAGAGACACCGAATCCGGCTTGAATATCCACTGCACGCCACCGCGCCTGGAAAGCTCACGGCATGCGATTTCGGCTTCCAGCAACACAACAATCTGAGAGTCGTACTGCCGGTTCCGGATGCGCTTCTCTGTGTTTACCCGTAGCTCGAAGATCACTCGGTGATACACTTTGTCGCCTCACTGCAAGCTCCCAACAAACATGCTGTAAACGGGCCAGGGTTGTTTAAAAGGGCCCTCAGCGCTTCGCCGAAGAGGATCTGCGGCCGCGCATACCAGCGGGCCGTGGAGAGGTTCGGTGAGCAGTACACCTCGGCCGGAGCGCTTGGCTCTCTGCAAAACTCCAAACTGCAGCTGTTACACGTCAACTCTTCTCGGCCGAGCTGGCTCCGGGTTCCCAGAAGTCGTGGCCCTTGTCCCGGTCATTGGACTCCAGGAAAACCCCCGAATCCAAAACTGACCACACCTTGGCATGGCAGGACCACAAGCAACGAGCAAAAGCCTGGACGCATTCATTCGTGGCAAAGTAATTCCGACCCCAACTAAGGCTAAGGATATCACCGAAGTAGGGTAAGTAACAAGGAGGAGGGGAAGGGAAACCAACACAGGAGCCCCGACCCCCAACACGGCACGAACTTCAAGTGCGCACCTTTTCATCTTGAGCCAAAGGTACATCGATGGCAACTCAGGCTACACAGTCAGACATACTCTTTTACAGGGGGGACATGAACTCAGTTCAGTTGACAAGGGTTCAACCACCTATGAAGAAGGCACAGCTCCTCGAGGAAGTCTGGCAGTGGTTGTTGCGAAATCCCTTGTACGAATAATGCATGCTCCCACTTTTGGAGTGGAAGCGCCTTCGAAAGGGGATCTCCCTTCTGATCATCTGTGCGGCAGGATTGAAGCACTACATTATTGTTAGCGTTCACGAACTCACACGTTGACGCGACATTCATGATGCAGATGATGATGATGATGAAGTTTGACTGCAACAACCGAGGTCCCGAAGGCGGTTCGGAGCAGGGAAAAGGGGCAAAGGGTATCGACATCGACAGACGTCGCAGCATGCAGGGTCTGCCAAGGGGGGAAACGGGACTAAACCCTAACCACGGGCCTAAACCATAGGGCCTCGGGATAGGGCAGCGGTCTGAGCAGGGCGCCCAGTCAAGAAGCCAGCAGCAAGCCGCGTGAAGCAGCAACAACTTGCGTAGGGAGATCCCTGGGCCAAAGCGACGACGAAAGTGCAACAGCACGATCTGCAACCAGAGCCCAATCAAGCGGTGTAAAGAAGCAAAGGGGGGACTAAACCCAAGGACCTAGGGTGAGGGAGAGGTAGCCAAAGCAGGGCGCTCAGGTGTAAGCGACAGCGACGAGCCAACGTGTGAAAGCAGAGGCCGCACAGCTCAGCCTAAGTGTCGGCCTCAGAAGCCATGCCACCCAGTTGCACTATGGCGATGCCTAGAGAGCACGCAGCGATCTGCCTGCCAGCGCGCTCCCCCTCTGAGGCTCCAGCACCCTTCGTGATCCAGCCAGACTTCGCTGTGATCCGTGGCTGAGAGGCCCACCAGTCCTGAGGGATGCTGTACTGCTGAGCTAAGCGTGCGCGCTCAGCATCGAGGAGCGGGCACTCAGCAAACATATGCCTGGCTGACGCAAGTGCAGCACCGCAGTTGCACTGAGTCAGCGCTGGCTGCCCATACCACCTGCGCGTCCGTGTTAAGACGGCTCCGCCCCGCCAGATGCGTAAGAACGAACTTTGGGGAAAAACCAAACTGCGCTTCCAGCGGACCCAGTCGCGATGCGACTGCACCTCCAGATCTACAGACTGGGCGCCTTCAGAATCTTCTCGCTCGAGGTTGATGCTGTGCAAGGCCAGCGCACGAGCCACGACTCTCAGGGTGTGGCCCTCATCAGCAGCCGCTTCGAAGCGTGGCAAGGCATGTCCGGGATGCCTCCGCCTCAGCGCGTCAAGAACAGACTGGGGGGAGCTAGGCTTAGGGCGAAGCCACAGGCCGCGGGCGGTGCTGTGCACGTCCAAGTCCAGGACAGCAGCATGGTGCTCAACGGCGGCGGTGAGCACAGGACAAGCACGAGCCATCTGAGCAGAAGCCGCGCTGAGGCATTTGATGGCTGTCGCGTACTGCGGGTGCAGCGTGACGTGATCGGCCCACACCCTGCCTTTGCACCACCAAGTACAAGAGCTGCGGCAGGCCCGAAAGAAGGCTTGAACAACAGAGGCAGCGACCTGAGGCAGCAGCGGCGACGCCCAGGTGACCTTTGGGAGCACCAAAGCCAACAGCATTTGCTCACGGGCCTCCATGCTGCCAGGCAAACCACCAACGGCATAGGCGAGATAGCAAAGAAGCTCGCTGCAAGCACGGCCCTTAGGCACGACAGGTAAACCGTGTTGAAGGAAAAAGCCAGGTGCTCGACGTTGCGCGCTTGCGGGTCAGCACGGCACCACTCCTGGCGCTTGCCCGTGTGCTCAACCAAACCGAGCCGCTGGTCACTCCAAGCAGTCAGTTGGAGAGCTCTGGGAAGTGAAGCCCCTGAGTCCGTCACAGATCTGTCGTCCATGTAAGCGAAAGGCCGGACACCAGGCAGCGTCTTCATGAGCTTAGTCCATGGAGAGAGGACGTAAGCCAAGAAGTGAGGAGAGCAGGGGTCACCGGCAGGCAGGCCAGAGGAAGCTTCCACCGCTCTGGGCGGGGGTACAGCGTGGACCATGCAGGACCGAGGAGCTGACCCAACAAGGCACTTAAAAAACTCCAAAACCGGTTTTGCGACCCCAGCGGCAGCTCCGGCACAGACAGCAATTGAATGATCAATGCTATCGAAAGCTTTCCGTAAGTCCAGCTCGGCAACTCTAGCACACGGGGTTCGCAGCCACTCGGCGGTGGCGTCGACGGCACTGCAGCCCGAAACACCGCAGAACTGGCCTTCGGGGACCGCCGGAAAGCCACGCAGCATGGCCCGATTCCAGGCCCGGATGATCGTGCTTGCAATGGCTATATATGCCTGGTTGCAGATTCACATCTCTTTGGTATCCATACGACACGCCACGAGAAAAAGCGGTTCCGACACTTCTGCGCCGGCTCCGAGCGAGGAGCACTCAGCAAGGTTGTGAGGATTTGCGTGAGGTCGTGCAAAAGACCAGGGCACGAGTGCACGAGGGCTTTCAGCTCGCTGGCGGACCAGCCGTCAAAGCCAGCGCTGCCCGAGCAACTGTCTATAGACTGCCGGAACTGCTCCGCAGTCGGCGGCTGAAACACAGGGCTGTTAACCGCAGGGCTCAAACCGGCAGCACTAGCAACCTCGTCCCACGCCTCCTGCGGGGCAGGGTGGACTTTGGACCACAGCTTCTCCCACTCCTCACTCATGGTGGCAGAACTGAGGTTAGGGTCGGGGGTTCGCACAGCTTGAGGGCCTCGGCCCCTGCCTGGACAGCAGACGCCGAAGAAGTCCAGAACTGACGGCGCCAGCGTTTGGAGCTTTCGTTTTGGAGCCGCTGGGCCTCGGCTTTCACCGCAGCACTGGCAACACCAATGGCTTCCGCTTGACTAGCCGGGAGGTTGGCGGCATGCCCAAGTAAAGCAATCCAGTGCCGAACCTGAGACACACTTAAAGGAGCACTGCCGTGATGAGAAGCTTGCCTTTCAACGGCGGCCCTGTGCACCCTCTTCCAGCGGCGAAGCAAGACAGACTCGTTGGGACGCAACGACGACACGGCAGAGACGCGCCGACAGGAGGGCTCCGAGCCTTTGGGCCTCTCCGGAGGCCTGTCACAAGCAGCAAGGCCAAGACGCACAGCCTCTTCGCACACAGCTTCGGCCCGCTGGTGCCAGTTCTCCAAAGAAGCAATCGGGTCGTCACAGAGTGCAGAGCCGAGTTGGGCAACACGCTGCAGCTGTTGGGCTTGTTCGGCAGAGGGTTTCTTGTGCCAGGAGTAAGAAGCACACCTGTGGAGACGGAGCACAGGCTCAACACAGGACCTAGACGCTTCGCCGCCTTGAGAACCAGGCAAAACGACTCGGTAACACACCGCCTTGTGGCGAGGCACCCCAGCAAGAGGCCGGCAAGACGTGACGGCAGTCTCGACAGGAACACCGTAGAAAGCGACGGCCCGAGAGGGAGCGGCCCTGTCGGAACCTTGGACACTATGCACAACCGGAGACAGCGAGCCGCCCAAAGCCGAGGCAAGGTCGCCGTAAGCCGTTTTGTAGTTGAAATCACCGACGATCAAGCACGGCGTCCGCAGCTCAAGCGTGGAGCGCAGGACGCTCGAGACAGTCGGCAAATCCAGCCGGGACGCATTACCGTAAAAGGAAACGACGGTCAGGTCCCCGAAGACACGCCCGCAAGCACGGTGAGCTTCGGCACTCGTGAGGGAGAACTGAAGAGGAACAGACTTGTCCTTTCGCCGCCACAACAAAGCAGCGCCACCTTGCCGCACACTGTTAGCCCGCTGGGCCGGGGGAGGAGCACTGAAATGGGCGCGCCAGCCCCACTGCCTAGCCAAGGTATGAGCCCAGACAGGGCTACTGCGATGGCGAGATTCCTGCAGAGCGATGAACTCGGCGCCGACACGTGAAGCCTCACGCAAGGTTTCCAAAAGCCGGTCCTTCCTGATAGATCCTTTGCGTGTAATTTTACACGTTCGGAAAATTTACACGCCAAAAACGGTATAAATGATTTATACGCCAAATTGGGGTGTAAAAAATTACACTTTTTTGTGTAAATTCTGGCGTGTAAATTTTGTCCTATTTTGTTCAATGGGCCAAGCTGTGCCGAAAAGGTGTTTTGAAAAACAGGCACTAGGAAGTGCGAGATGTCGAAAAAGTAGTGGATTCCGAATGGCGGGCAGGCCGACGTGGCGATAGATTCGTATAGATTCCGATAGCGAGATTTGCCGACAGAGACAACATGTACAGTTGTGACTCCGAAGGCCGACATGGCTTCTCTTGTTTCGGTGAAAAAACAAAAGAAAAAAGAGAAAGAGAGAGCCAGAGAGCGAGAGTATATCCTCTAAACCACAGGAGAGCTCCTGAAATCAGTTCTTGCTTGTGTGACTTGTGCATGATTGTCCGTGAGACAGTATCACCTACCCCCCGCCATACATCACTGCAGGGCCACTGGCCTGCGGCTTGAGGGCAAGTCCCTGCACCATTCCACGGACCCAAGTGCGATGACGGCCACCGAGGTCCGGGAGTCCTTGGCCAGAGTTCGGCGATTCCGCGGGCTATTCCACCGTTTGTCGCTGGCAAACAGTGTGGAGTCACGTGCTAAGCAACCTGCTCAGAGAAATGCCTGGGGAAGCCGCGAGTTCCTTCTCGGCCACTCTTCGCGAGGTCCACAAAGGGGTCATCTCAAAGCAACGGGCTTTCGGGGGCGGCACAACCCGGAAGCACGACCCCTGAGGAAGGTGCACACCCCTCAGGCATGGCGGATCCACCCTGGCCGAGTGGAGGTGAGACTTACACTGGTGTTTGCAAAGACCACGGGGGAGGCCACACATCTAAACAGCATGGCTTGTCTTGTTTTGAAAAAAAGAGAAAGAGACAGCCAGAGAGCGAGAGAGCGAGGTATATATCGGGCAGGGCTATAGGGTTCCCCTGTTCCTTTCTTGGTGTTACACCGAGTTAGGGCAGGGGAACCCTATAGCACTTGGCAGGATGCAGTTTTATTATATGTATCCTAGACCGCAGAGCTCCTGAAATCCATTCTTGCTTGTGTGACTTGTGCATGATTGTCTGAGACAGTATCACCTACCCCCTGCCATACATCACTGCAGGGCCACTGGCCTGCGGCTTGAGGGCAAGTCCCTGCACCACTCCTCGACCGGCAAGTCTGGATGCAGTTCCAGACGGTAGCACTCGACTCCTCCAGGAACCGGCTCACGGAGGTCAGCTGCTAGAGGCCAAACAGGCCAAGAAAGCGGTCGTCCACAAGGGGATCATGAAGGAGGAGGAAGCAGACAAGCTTCCGTCCGGGCTTTCGGGGGCGGCAAAACCGGAAGCACACACTCCTGTGACCTTGTGGAAGGAAGGTGCACACCCCTCAGGCATGGCGGATCCACCCTGGCCGAGTGCAGGTGAGACTTATACACTGGTGTTTGCAAAGACCCCGGGGGAGGCCATCTAAAGCCGGAAGGCATTGCGAGTGCACTTGTGATTTTCATGCCGGGCCGTGTGTCTCTTCTCAAGCCCGCCCCTGTCCCTTTCTTGGTGTTACACCGAGTCAGGGCAGGGGTGGGTCTCTCGCACTCAGCAGAGGATATCCTTTTTTGCACTTATTACGGGCTGCCGGGCCGTGTGTCTCTTCTCAAGCCCGCCCCTGTCCCTTTCTTGGTGTTACACCGAGTCAGGGCAGGGGTGGGTCTCTCGCACTCAGCAGAGAGGACATCCTTTTCTGCACTTATTACGAACATATAATATGGATGTTTTTTCTGGTTTAGGATATATATATATATATATATATATATATGTATATATGTCGGGTTGTCGATACATATATATATATAGGGTGATTGAGAGACGAGCAGAACAAGTTCACAATCCTGTATCGTTGATAGATGCACAGTGTGCTTTGATGTGACCGCCCTGGATGGCCGGCTATGGTGTGGTGGCAGGACTTGCTCGAACAGTGAATGTGCTCCCGGTTTTGGTGATCTTTTCATCTTTGTGTGGCAGGACAGGCAAGCCGAAGATCTGCGGAGCTCCTCGTGGTCCTGGCAAACATTCTCGGTCTTTTCGTGGCAGGACCTCCGAGAGAGAGAGAGAGAGAGAGAGAGAGAGAGAGAGAGAGAGAGAGAGAGAGAGAGAGAGAGAGAGAGAGAGAGAGAGAGAGAGAGAGAGAGAGAGAGAGAGAGAGAGAGAGAGAGAGAGAGAGAGAGAGAGAGAGAGAGAGAGAGAGAGAGAGAGAGAGAGAGAGAGAGAGAGAGAGAGAGACAGAGTTGCTTGTGTGCTCACAAGACCGGATGCCAAAGCATGTTCACACATGTGCCTGTGTGTGTGGCTTCGCGAATCAGCGGCAGCTTTTTTTTGGTGTGCAACCGTCGGACGGGTTGCGAAAGCATGTTATGTTATTGACAGGTTTTCACAGACATGTGACATGTGGTAGCATAAGCAGCTTTACTTTCTTTTTGTGCCCGCCTGTCCCTTTCTTGGTGTTACACCGAGTTAGGGCAGGCATCTATAAGATGGTTAGCGAATGTATGTTATTGTTATATAGCTTAGATGTGTTTTTAATTGTAGATTTTGTTTGTGTGGGCACCTTTTATATATAGATCTAAATTCGTAGCTCCTCGCCATGGAGCCGGCCAGCGGGAGTGTGAAGAAGTTGGACAAGACGGCCCTGGAGGGGCTCGATGCCCGCACCGAGAGCACGAAAGTGCCGGAAGATGTTCTGATGGAGGAGCCAGACCCTCCGTCCGACAACGAGACCATGAGCACCGCAAAGCGGTCCAACAGCAAGCCGGAACATGGAAGAGGCCCTCTGCGTGAGGCGAAACAGGCCAAGAAAGCTTTGATCCACAAGGGGGTCATCTCGAAGGAGGAAGCAGACAAGCTGCCCGTCGAGGAGATTTTGGAGATGGTGAAGAAGTACCGCAAGGGCAGCGGCAACCTGACGGAGGCTGTCTTGGAGCAGCTGGCGGAGAACCAGAAGGAGGACCTCTTCAAGAAATTGTTTGCAGAGTTTCAAGAGAGCCCGGGCATGAACATGCCAACGATCACGGACGAGCAGGTGGAGCAGGCGGACAAGGAACTCACTTCCTTGTTCATGTACCAGAAGTGTCCCTTTTGCGACAAAATTGTGGACGAGTGGCACGTGAAGAATAAGGACCACAAGAGTTACATGAGGGAGCACCTCAGGTCGTCGTACCTCCTCACGGACCCAACTGCGATGACGGCCACCGAGGTGAGGGAGTCCTTCGCGAGAGTTCGGCGATTCGGCGGGGGATTGCACCGTTTGTCGCTGGCAAACAGTGTGGAGTACTGGGGCGATGTGGAGAAGCTTCCGTCCTTGGTGCGGAGCATCCATGCCACCAAGGCGATGCAAATCAAATACGGCACGTCCAAGACCGCGAAAACGCACCTCCTGACAAAGGAGCAGGTGGGCTTGTGGGTAAAAAGGAGAACCAATAAAAAATAACGATAAGGTTTATAGAATTTTTATAGAATAGTATAGGAAGAGTGACCACAGAGGGGGTTTGGACACGAGTCCAGGTGGCCAAGTACCATCTGGCCTGGGTGAGCTATGCTCCGACGTCCGGCAAGTACACGAATGCCTCGTACTCCAAGGACCACCTGAAGCTCCACACCGACCTCCAAAGGCCTAAACTTTTTAAACCCTGTAAACCCTCTCTATAACCCCTCTAAAAACCCTATATACCCTCTAAACCCTCTAAACCCTAAACCATAAACCATAAACCCTAAACCGCGGCCCTGAGGAACCCGCAGATGGTCTTCGAGAGCCCCGAGCCCGAGAGTAGCTGGTGGCCTGTGGTCCTGCTCCAGAGGCCTGAGGATCCCGAGTTCGAGAACTTGGCGAACATCGCGGGCACCCAGACCATCCTCATCATTTGCTGGTACCAGATCATGGAGGACGGCTTCTGGGTCTGGGTGATGACCGTCGAGGCGATGTGAAGCACTCGTCATTGCCATTTTGAGCTACCACACAAACTCCCCTGTTCCTTTCTTGGTGTTACACCGAGTCAGGGCAGGGGAGGGAGTGTGGGAGCCCCCTGTCCGTTTCTTGGTGTGAGTTGTGTGGATGTTATTTATTACTTATAATGAGCTCCCACACAAACTCCCCTGTTCCTTTCTTGGTGTTACACCGAGTCAGGGCAGGGGAGGGGGTGTGGGAGCAGGGAGGCAGTATCATAGGGGTTGACATATATTTATTACTTATAATGAGCTCCCACACAAACTCCCCTGTTCCTTTCTTGGTGTTACACCGAGTCAGGGCAGGGGAGGGGGTGTGGGAGCAGGGAGGCAGTATCATAGGGGTTGACATATATTTATTACTTATAACTATTTGCCACCAAACACAGAACATGGATAGTCACACCGAGTTATATAAGGCAGGGGAGGCCAGGCACGGCCATCGCACACAGGTGTAGCATCTTCTGCACCCCGAAAAAAGCCTCTGTGTGGCTCGGGCTGCCGTCTTGCTTCTCTGTTTCACCTGTGACTCACGGCCTTGTGCCTTCGCAAAAATCTCTATGCAGGGCGGCAGCTACATGTGTGTTTGATGGACGTGGTGTTGCAAAAATGTGGTGGTACGGCGGATAACATCGATTTGTTCTTTGTGCTTTTGCTGCCGCAGGAAATCCTTCGATGCCTGTGGGACATCATCTGCAAGCAGCAAGCCTCCGCCAAGGCTCGCGGGCAACTCGAGACATGTGTTTGATGACATTGTAGTGCCCAATGTGGTGGTACGGCTGATAACATCGATTTGTTCTTTGTGTTTTTGCTGCCGCAGGAAATCCTTCGATGCCTGTGGGACATCATGTGCAAGCAGCAAGCCTCCGCCCAGGCTCGGGCAACTCGACATGTGTTTGATGACATTGTAGTGCCCAATGTGGTGGTACGGCTCATAACATCGATTTGTTCTTTGTGCTTTTGCTGCCGCAGGAAATCCTTCGATGCCTGTGGGACATCATCTGCAAGCAGCAAGCCTCCGCCAAGGCTCGGGCAACTCGACATGTGTTTGATGACATTGTAGTGCCCAGGCTGTCAATAGCTCGAGTACAATGGGGGGGAACCCAAAACCCCAAGCTTGACGGGTTTGAAGGGCTTTACAGAGGTGTGGAGATTTGGGCTTGAGAGCTTTCCCTGCCCTAACTCGGTGTAACACCAAGAAAGGGACAGGGGACTGCTATGATACCCTAAACCCTAAACCCTAAACCCTAAACCGTAAACCCTCAACCCTAAACCGTAGCCCTAAACCCT